AAACATTATTTTAATATTTTATAATAAGTATAAATGATTGATAGTAAATTAATGTTATATTTTTGTTTCAAATATTAAATTGATAAATTAATGAAGCATAAGAATGATAAATATACTTATAAAAGATATATCATGTTTCTATAGCATAAAATATTTCTCAAAAGTATCTTCTTCCAGCTTAATTTCATTTTTATCACAAACCAAAACAATTTCTGTCCCATTATATGCATACAACATTTTGAAATAGAGAGATGGAAAACCAAACATGAGATAACACGGGTGTACTTGGGTAACTGTCAGTTGTATCCTTCTCTGCTTAATATCTGTCGAACATAGAACATATAAGACAAAACATAGAACATAAGCATTTTTCCTATCTAGTCTCTGCCAACCAAAGTCTAAGCTTTTGCTTTGTCTTAGGCTATCTTGTCTTTCCAATTTAGTTATAAAAAATAACCTAATTTCTTTGATAATCTTTTACCAAGAAAGAACATATAGATTATTTTTTATTTATTTCTTTATGTTTTCAAATGTTCGAACTCATGCAAACTACTTCTCTGTATAGCAGTAACATGCGGCTTGAATTTACATCTTTATTCCCCATGGTAAATTCATCCAATTAATTTTAAGTTCTGTCTTGTGTTAACAATTGCAGCCTGATAAGGTTCCTGTGCAGCCAACACCAGTTTCAATGTAAGTTCTTATTAGATTGCTTAGACAGTTCTTTATTTTAAAGTACTTCTAAATTTTGGCTGAGAAACAGTACAGGATAAATTTTTGTTTTTTTCTTTACTTGATCAGTTTTTCACTTTGCTTCAAATGTTATTTCTTTTAGCAGAATGCTTTTGGTCAAATCTGTCCCCTTGTTTCTTGTTATATATTTATTTCATATTTGGATGTTGTTTGCAAATAAGGTCCTGTATATGTCTATTTCTTACTTTAAAATTGCAGCAAGGTTGCTGGATTAGCCTTCCTCAAAATGTTTTTGTGCTTTTTTTTGTTTAGGGAGTGTTTGTCTGGGAGTGATTGGGCTTTAGTCACCACAAACGATGGGAAAAAGTATTATTTCAATAGTAAGACGAAGGTACTGTACTGAACTTGATTAAATATTTGATTTAGTTTTTGCCGGAGTTCTTTTGATTAGTTGTTTTGGTGATTAAATGATCTAGTTGTATAGCCAATGGCATGTTGGTGTAATGGTCTCCTATCTGGGGTTAATCAACGCTCATTTTCAAGTCTCATGCTTGACAATGGCCACAGGTCTTATGAAAAGGAATTTGTCGAGTTATTTAGCAATTGCTTGTGATTCATTGAGCATCTGAGTTCTTAATTTGTGGCTCATATTCAAAAAGATTACTGTTCACTGAAGGCTCCCACTAAAAGGAAGAGAGTTCACATGAATATGTCATTATCTTTGTCTTTGCATAGATCCTCCCCAAGTGATGATGAATCATGATTTGTCACTTGCAGTACAATATCCTACTGTAATAAGAGTGCTAATTGACATGTAAATTTTTTGTAAATGGGTGGTGCTCCCTTAGCACCTCACATTAATACATCTTCTCTTCTTTTATTTTTTTTTAAAAATCCTACTGTAATAAGGAGGGCTTTTTTGTATATTCCTGTAATTTTGTGTTTTCTGTTTACATTATTAAGGGAAAAATCCTTGTTAGATATATATTTCTCTAGTAAAAAAAATCCCAGGTATAAGATTTAATTCTTCTATTGTGAAATTTGACTGGTAGTTCCATGAAATAAGCACATCATTGAACCACATAAGTTTTCTATGTTCTTTCTCTCTTGCATTTTGAATTCCCTCCAGTAGTGGTTTCTTTGACATGCCTTCATGAATTTATTTTAATCATTAACCATGTTTTGATAGATAAATATAGTTAGTGATTTTTATATTTTTTTGATAGGAAAAGAAAGTAATGAAAGAGATGACAAAGGATGAAAATAAGATATTCTTTTAGAAAAATGAAAAGTAAAAGAAATAAAACACAGTCAGGAAAAGGTTACTGAACTTGACAACTGGTAGCCTCCCTATTCCTTTACAGAATATATAAAGAACAATCCTCAAAAAAAAAATCATGAGTCTTCGCCTGTTATTGCCCATGCGAAGATTCTGTTCTAAATAAGATGAGCATGATTAATGCTGTCCTTAATATTCTGGCATTTTGTTCTGGCCATAAAGCTCAACGTCCAGGTCCATAAACATTTTATGCTCTTTATTGATTCAACCCCTCAAATAGTCCAAAAAAAGATCTTGTGATTGGTTACACATCCAACATTTCCCAAAGAGGGCAAACAAATTGTTTTAAACCATAGAAGCCAGAAACCTTTTCCCTGCCGTCCAGATAAAGACCTTTACCTTTAAAGGGACACCTTCCAGAAAGAACAGAAAAAAGCAAATTTGAAGTATTAGAGTTACGGCTTAAGAAGGTGAAAACTGGCACTCAATAAAAATAGTTCTACTTGCCATCGCTTCTGAAGCAAGTTATTACTATTAATATTAATTCTGTTACGTGCTGAGGTTCAGAAGCACGATTTGGTTAACCATTACTTTGGCAAAAACGAGGAATTGAACCAAACTGTGTGGTTTCAAATGATGAATAAACATAAATGTCCAAAAGCACCTGCATTCATGAATAAGATAAAGAAAAAGAGCCTAAGAGAGTTGAGAGACGAGAAGAAGTGTTATGTCTTCCTAAGAATAAAGATCTTTTACTACCTATAGAGAGTTCTATAAAAGTTCAATCTAAAGAGGAACCCGAGCCAATAATTGAAACTAAAGATGTTCAACCCAAAGATGAATTTGAAGTGCAAATTCAATATATTGATTTCATCCTTTCATCAGTTTCACGCTCCTAAA